CACAACAGCCCAGGATGGGGGGGGCATAGCCACACCGGGGACACCCCAAGCCATTTCCACAGCCGGGGGCTCCCCAGCACCCCCCGCCCCACCCTGCCACCTCGTCCCCCGTCTTGCAGCACACGGGCGCAGGTTCCCCCGATGCGCTGCGGGGTGATGCCGCACGTGGCTCTCGGTTGTTTACTTCCTCGGCTTATACAGAATAAACGAGCGAATCTGGGTTATGGCATGAAATAATAGTCACCAAAAAAGGGCCTGGAGACGGGGCGGCTCCCTCGAGTGTGACAGGATGGGTGCCAGCAGCCGGGGATGGGGGATTTGTGGGGTGACGTGGGTGGCTTTTTTCTTGCTGCTGTGGGCAAGCAAAAAGGGGTGAAATGTGGTGTTTTGGGGGGAGCTCAGCTCCAAACTCACTGTCTTTGGAAAACCCACTTTGGTCTGGGGGTAAAATACTAAAGGCTCCCAGGGCTGTGCCAGTCTCCCCCGGGGTGGGAAGGTCCCCGTGCCCGCTGCCACGGTTGCTTGTGGCCGAGCTGGGTTTTCCCGTCCTCCCCGGGGCCCCGATGTGCCCAATTTTGGGCACGTCCCCCGATAATGTAAGGGATTTGTGCCAGAAATGGATCCCGGCCAGGTCTCGTCCCAAGAGCACCGGGCCGGTCGATGCTTTGGGGATGCCAGGAGCCCATCCACTGCTGGCAGCAGCAGGGAGAGGGGTGTTGGCGGGTGGCATCTGTGGGTGATGGCTCCAGGGACACGCCAGTGTCTCCTTGAGGGTGGCAGAGGGAGTGGCTTGGGGGTCCTTGGAGGATGGGGACATGTCACTGCCATGCCTGATGCCTCCCGCCCCGGCAGGAGCACGTCCGGCGTCACCAGGAGATCCACGTGGTGATGGGCAACGAGGCCTGTGACCTGGACTCCACCGTCTCGGCCCTGGCCCTGGCTTATTTCCTGGCGAAGGTGAGGCTTGCCCGCTGGCTTGGGGATAAACGGTGGCTTGGGGGACGCCTCATGGGCTGTCCCCCCCCTGCCGCAGACCTCCCCAGCTCCCAAAGCTGCCTTCATCCCGGTGCTGAACATCCCTCGAGCTGACTTCGCCCTCCGGACGGAGACGACGTTCCTGCTGCGGGAGCAGGGCATCCCCGCCACCTCCCTCATCTTTCGGGATGAGATCGACCTGGGGGGGCTGCACCGTGCCGGGCTGCTCTCCCTGACGCTGGTCGATCACCACGTCCTGCCTGGGTGAGCCGGGGGGGGGGACACGACATGGGGACAACCGGGCCACCCACCCAAAGCCTCGCTTTTTCCTTGCTTGATTTTGGCCCAGGGTGGGTAAAACCTTTCCCTTTCCGGGGTGTTTTTAGGGTAGGAAGAGAGGAACAAAGGGGGTTTCCAGGCTCTGCTGGGGGTGACGCATCGCGGCTGCACCCCGGGGTTGTACCGGGGGTCTCACCCTCCCCGTCTCACCCGCCAGCGCTGACGCAGCCCTGGAAGAGGCCGTGGTGGAGGTCCTCGATCACCGGCCGCTGGAACGGGACCGAGCTCCCGGCTGCCAGGTGACGGCAGAGCCGGGGGGGTCCTGCGCCACGCTGGTGACGGAGCGGATCGCTCAAGGTCCCCCGGGCGTGCTGGACAGACTCACGGCCGCGCTGCTGCACGGTGAGGACAGGCAGCCTTGGCTGAGCCCCATCCCAGGGGGACGATGACGACTGATGGCACCCAGTTGTCATCTCCCCCACCTCAGGCACCATCTTGCTGGACTGCGTGAACCTGAGCCCAGCCGCCGGCAAGGTGACACCCAGGGACGTGGCGTGCGTCTCCCTGCTCAGGGCGAGGTTCCCCGAGCTGCCATCCCGCGACGCTGTCTTCAAAGCCCTGCAAGCGGCCAAGTTCGATGTCTCAGGTCCAGCAGGGGCATCTCGGGCCTGGCTGGGAGCGGGAGCTGGGACAGACCCCTCTCCCTGGGGACAAGGATGCATCCCTGGGGCTCACGCTCGGCCCCTCTCGTCTCCCAGGGCTGACGACAGAGCAGATGCTGCGGAAGGACCTCAAAGTCCTCTCCAGCGATGAGCTGGTCCTCGCTGTCAGCGCCATCTACGTGGACCTGGAGGTGACACTGGGTGGGGGGGAAGCTGAGGCAGCGGGGATGGCGCAATGGGGACAGCGGGGTGACACCAGCACCTCTCCCCCTCCAGACCTTCCTGCACCGGCCTGGTTTGCTGCAGGACCTGGACACTTTCTGCCAGGCTCGGGGCTACACGGGGCTGGTGGCCATGATGATCTCTTTTAACGAACGCAACGAGCCCTCCCGGCAGCTCGCGGTCTACAGCCGGCGCGAGACCCTCCGCAGCGCGGTGAGTGGGGCGGCCGGGCACCCCAAACCCTCGGCACGGGGGGTCTCGGTGGGTGCCGGGTGGTTCTCTGCTGCAGTTTGCTCTGAAAGACCCCCAATTTTGGGGGTGCTGGGAAGGGAGGGGGGTCCCCAGCTACGACTCTTCCTCCCTCGCAGGTGTGCCGGGCGCTGGAGGAGGCGACGACGCCATCCCTGCTCCTCCAGCCCCTCCTGAGCCCCTGGTCCTGCGTGGGCACCTACGCCCAGGGCAACGCATTGGCATCGCGGAAGAAGGTCCTGCCCATCCTGCGGGCAGCCCTGGGGGACCCGGGCGCTGCCGGGGGGCCGGAGGAGGAGGTGGTCCCACCGCCCACCCCCATGAACAGCCTGGTGGAGGAATGCCCGCTGGCACAGGCCGTGCCCCCCCTCTGCCCCCAGGATGCCCTGGAGCGGGTCAGCCGCATCGCCGCCGGGCAGCCCCCCGGCTCCCCGAAATGAGGGTGGGCGCCGGGCAGGGTTTGGGGGCTGCACAAGGAGGTCAGATCTCTGGACAGGTCTCGGTGGGGTGCCCAGGCTTGGGGGGTGCTGCAGACGCCCTCATTAGAGCTCGCCTTCCTTCGTTAGAGCTCGGCTCCCTGCCGCGGATGGGTCCTCGTCGCAATTTTCCCCCCTTGTGATGGGGTCCCCCCACCCCAACGGCCCCACAGGGTGGGTTTTTGGGGGCCCTGTGGGCAGCGGGGCCAGGGCAGCACTCGCACCCGCTTAATGAAGGCAGTGAGGGGGGGTAGTTAACGAGTTCTTGCTGTTCTTCCTCCCTTGGGGGGGCTGTGGGGGTCCCCGATGGCGGGTCCGGAGGCACAGCCATCCCAGGACTGTCACCCACGTGCTCCAAGGATTAAATTTCCCTCTTTTCTTCCACTTTTGGCTCTCGGCTCTTCTTCCACAACGGGTCCGGCGCTGCCCTGCTCACCCCGGGGGTGCCTGATGTGGCCCCCACCCTCCTTGCGGGCATCCTGGGGGGGCGTGGGGGGGGATGAACCCCCTCTTTTCCTGGGGTGCAATCCCCCTGCTGATAACTCCCCCCGGGTCAGGGGAGCGTTTCGGGGCTGCGTAGAGTGGAGGGGGGGGGGGG